TTACTACCTTATCATTTTATATTCCTTAGAATCCTTGCATTGAGTTTCAATGAATTCTTTTTAATCCATATTCTAAATTCTATATCTAGAATTAGGTTATTACTGATATATGCAGATTTGACCTGGACACTGAGTTTGGCCAGTGACCTGGGAACCATTTCATCCTGATTAAGAACCATTGTTGGGGAACTAGTACAGTTGTTTGGAGGTAAAAAGTCTATCTTTCTGAGTTCTCAGAGTTCTTGCACTTGTTCTTCCTCATGTTTGTGAGTTGATGTTTCTTCAATCTCTAAAGTTGCGTTCTTTGGGTGCTTTCTTTATTTGATTTCATTAGGGGTTTAATTGTGGTATAAAGTGGGTTCCGTTTACTGACTTTGTTCCTGTAAAAAATTAGAAAGCTACAGCTCAGCTCGGCACTCCTGGGCAGTGTGCTCTAATTCTGGAGAGCTGGTATCCTGGCCCCTTGAGGTTAGAAACCTGATGTACTGGTGGGCTAAAGTGCTCCTGGGCCATAGGCCACAACACTCTGATGTGTGCTGCCAGCCAAAGCACTTCATTAGACAGGGGCCAGCTGGAACTCTCGATGGCCAGGCACTGTTTGCCACTGCAGGAGTTTTAATGCAGGCCCCTGGGAGGAAGCCCATTTGGGCATCCAATGCCATACTGCAAGCAGCCATCACTGGATAGGCTGGTCCCAAGAAGAGACTGGCAGACAGGGGTCACTCAGGTCAGACTGGCCCATCTCCAAGGAAAGGATACCCTGCTCTGCTAAGGTCTGATAGTTCCCCTAAAACAAAAGTCTCCTAGGGTAGTGAGGGAAGCCTTCAGGTATGGGCATTCCTAGCTGTGCTCCATCACAGACACTCCTACACTAAACCCTCTGCCTTCTGCACAGGCTAAAGTCCTGCCCCAACACATCTCCAACCAGCTATTCCTGCTAGCTCAAGTGTCCACGGGGGTCATGGGTCCTCTGCTGCCATGATTCCAGAGGTCCATGGTAAGAGTGGATTGCTCCTTGCCTGCTCATCTCACCTCTTCCCCAGGAGTCATTCAGGCCAGGAAGAAGTCCCTGTGCATGATAGTCCCATGCAAAGTACCCATCTTCTTCCCCCTCCATCCTAGCATGTGTATTCTTCCTCCATCCACTCTCAATGCCTTCCCTCAGATGATATATTCAGAGTGCACCAGTCTTCCCAGTGTCCCATTCTCCTGGAAGCAGATATTCCTCCTGGCTGCATCTAGTCAGCCACCTTATAAACTATTATTTACTTTATGAAATACACATGTATTTTTTTCTTATAACTTGCTTTTGGCCATTTTATTACTTCTTTCTACCTTTCACTGAGGGACATAAACAAGTAAGAGTTGAAAATCCAGTCAGCCTGACAATGTTTTGGGGAAAATACTTAATTCATATAGAGAATAAAATTAACAATTAAGGCTTCGTAATTATTTAACTTCGCTGTTGCTATCCTCTTTTAGAAAGTCATGTATAGGGGAGTTTAAGATGACAGACAGGAAGCAGCTAGTGTACACTGTTCTCATGAGGATGAAACAAAGTGCTAAGTAAATACAGGTTCTTTCTTTCTTCAAATGGATTGCCAAGGAGATCCCACGAAGATTCACCAAGGAAGCAACAGGACTAACAAAGAACAAAGAGGAGTGAAGCCAGGCAGTTTCCCACCCAGAACTGATGTGGAGTTCAGATATTTTATGGTGTCAGAATTTTTATGCTAGTTCCTGCTCATCTGGAGAGGAATGGGTACGTCTTTTGGCTTTGCTTCTATTGCCTTATGGTATTTTGGCTTTGCTTCTATTACCTTATGCACTTCTGTGGACTGGTTTTATATTGAGCTGTGTGAGCTGACTGATGGTTCTGTCAGGTGAGAGACAGCTGCAACACAAACAGGTAGGTATGTGCCTGATCTTTGTTTATGCTTTGCTCTCTTGTTGTTTCAAGTGAAGGACTGGACATTGGAGTACCTGGTGCCCTAAGCTTCCTGTTCTGTGGGGTTGGAGGGACACAGTTATGTCAAGCTGAAGCCCCTTGCTTTCTCACAAATACCCAAATGGCAAACACAGGCACCTGCCCTAATGAGGGTTAATGGTAGGAGTTCCTTGTGAAGTGCACTGAAGACTGTACAGGGAGTTGAGGTGACTGCACCAGCTTCCTGTCCCACATAGGGAAGAACTTGATTTGTTTTCCTTTTACACAACTGTTCCAAGGCTTATGACTCCTAATTTAGATTCATATTCTAGTCTATCTCCAGACTACAATGAGGTTGAGAGGCACAATAAATGCCTGTTTTGTGACTCTCTGTGGGAGTGGATTCAGGACATAATTTCATCTCTGAACTGGATAGACAGTTTTATGGCTCACCTCTTGGCCAGTGTGACAGTACTGCTGCTGCTTGTAAATGGTGTATGGGGGGGCTCCACCTTTGGGCCCATGTAAGTGGGTTTTGGTTCTGGTGGTTGTGGCTAGTTAGGTCAGCCTGACTTCAGGCCCTGGGGAAGTCATCAGGTGCCAGTAGAGTTGGAACAGTGTAAGTAGGGTAGGTAGCTGGTTCCCAGGCCACTACATGGCTGGCAGAACAGTGGGTATGAGTACTGAAGGGGCTGTGTAAACAGTACTGCAATAAACATATGTGTGCATGTGTCTTCATAACAGAATGATTTATAATCTTTCGGGTATATACCCAGTAATGGAATAACTAGGTCAAATGGTACTTGTAGATCCTTGAGGAATCATCACACTGTCTTCCACAATGGTTAAACTAATTCACACTCCCACCAACAGTGTAAAAGCATTCCCATTTCTTCACATCCTCTCCAGCATCTTTGGTCTTCTGATTTTTTAATGACTGTCATTCTAAGTGGCGTGAGATGGTATCTCAACGTGGTTTTGATTTGCATTTCTCTGATGATCAGTGAAGATGAGCTTTTTTTCATGTTTATTGGCTGCATAAATATCTTCTTTTGAGAAGTGTCTGTTCATATCCTTTGTCCACTTTTTGATGGAGTTTTTTCTTGTAAATTTGTTTAAGTTCTTTGTAGATTCTAGACATTAGCCCTTTGTCAGATGGGTAGCTTTCAAAAAAATTTTCCCATTCCATTGGTTGCTGGTTCACTCTAATGACAGTTTCTTTTGCTGTGCAGAAGCTTTTTAGTTTAATTAGATCACATTTGTCTATTTTGGCTTTTGTTGCCATTGCTTTTGTGTTTTAGTTATGAAGTCCTTGCCCATGCCTATGTCCTGAATGGTACTACCCAGGTTTTCTTCTAGGGTTTTTATGGTTTTAGGTCTTACGTTTAAATCTTTAATCCATTTGGAGTTAATTTTTGTATAAGGTGTAAGGAAGGAATCCAGTTTCAGCTTTCTGCATATAGCTAGCCAGTTTTCCCAACACCATTTATTAAATAGGGAATCCTTTCCCCATAGCTTTTGTCAGGTTTGTCACAGGGGGTTTTAAAGGGAGACTTAGCACAAGCCAAGGAGTCTAATCATTAAGTACATCTTGTCTGTTCTCAAATGAGGCTTTGAGAATTAATTAAATAACTTCTAATTTTTTGTTAGAAAAAGTTACTGAATATCAAAACCCAGAAAAAGTCAAATTATGGTTTGTATGTATAAGATCTATCAAAAGACACATCCATCATATCCATCATAGGTGAGAACATTTGGATCATCGAAGTAGAAACAGAAACTAGAGAAGTGGGGATATACAATGTTATCATTTTATTCTTTGTCCATATTTAAAAGCCTCTTATCCTTTTCTTAAAGGCCCTGTATTAAAGCATGCTTGATTTCATAAAATCATGTCAGTGGACTATGCACTCTCAGTAAATTGTTAATATAAAAGCTATAAAAGAATAGGCTAAATGAAAAAATATGGGTAGCAGAAACAGCTGTTTTTGTGCTGTTTAGGCAATTTAATTGCAACATGCCTAATCATTAACTTTTTTCTGCAAATAAGAAAAACAATCTCAATATTAGCAGAGAAAATCCTAGTCAACCTGTCAGAACATCACTGTTTCATAACAATTTAAGAATCACTGTCTTAAAAGAATAAAGATCTGATCAACATCTTCATTTGATAGACAACCCAGCTGTCAGCCTGACAGGTTGAGTGGCTTGCTGAGATCACCCAGGTAATCAGAAGCAGATTCTGGACATGAAGCCAAGTCTACTTATTCCCAGTCTACTACTAGTAGTTTCTTTTTATCACACTTTACAAATGTGTTTGTGAGTAAGCAAGATAGGTCAAGATTAAATATAAATATTTGGCAAATGTTTGAACTTAGGCTTGTTTATATTTTCATCATGAAAGATACAACTTTTTATTTGAGGTATGGCTTACTTATAAAAATATTTACAAACTCCAAAACATTTACTATGATTTCTGAATTACAAATTGCTAATGAAACAAAGTATTTGAATATGGCTTGTGTTTTGAAATGCTAAATGTTAAACCTAAAATTACCTAATGAGATTCCTACCATCTTAATTTCACACTTTTTCAATCCATCCTATACATCAGTTAGTACAACAGAAAAGCATGGCAAGCATTTGATTCATAATTTTATGTACTATACTTTACCGTAACAGGTGCATAGTCATTAGGCATAACATAAACTTATAAAGTTCTCTTAAATGGATAGAGATTATAAAGTAAAAGAAAAATCATAAATAATTTTGTAGCTAAACAGAAAAAAAGACAAAAACATATATAGAAGAAGTCAATAGTTTTCAAATTATTAATATGCAAGCAAACTACCTATAGTCACTAAGGAGATTATATAAGACCTTGATGCAAGGGAATACAGTATTTTGGGGGGGTTAATAAGAGCTTAACTTTAAAAATATTACTAATACTTTACACTAGACAACTTTGCTTTCAAACATAAAAAATATATTCTTATATGAGTTTAAATAAAATACTGTTTCTATTTCATTCACTTTAAAAATAATTAGCATAACTATAAATTTCAATGCTTACCTGAAAGAATGCATCCTTTCGACTTAGAGGTATGCTCATGAAAAGTGTCACATAACTTTCTGAAATTCTGTCAAATAAACAATCTTGGTTTTCTCTGTCAGGCTTTAAAAAAGTGTGAAATTAAAGTCAATATTACAATTTAAAACTGGAATTTGTTTACATGATGTCAGCAATTTTATTTATTCTTATGAGCACATCAGTTGGTATAGGAGTATCAGCATGGGTGGCTTTTGGCATAATGTAGACCCAAATTTTAATACTGGCTGTTATACATTAGCTGTATTACCCTGGGCAAGTTAATTAAGTGCCAGGTTTCTCATCTGTCAAATGTAGGTAATATGTATTTATCTTAAAGGAGTGTAGTAAAATTAAAAAAGGACAGAGATCGTATTTGTGTAACTTTGTATTTCAAGGCCTTAGCACAGTACCTGGCAATGAAAAGGATGCAAACATTTTATGAGTTAATTACCCTTGCATTCCAGGAATAAATTCCACCAGTTATGGTGTATAATCCTTTTAATATGTTGACTTTGATTTGCTACTATTTTGTTGAGGATTTTTATGTCAATACTCATCATAAAAGATATTGGTAGTTTCTGTTTTGTTTTTATTGCAGTGCCTTTTTTGGGTTTTAGTTTCAGAGTAATACCCTCTAACTCATAGGTTGAGTTACAAAGTATTTCCTCCTTTTCAGCTTTTCGGAAGAGTTTCAGAAGGACTGGTGTTTATTTTTAAATGCGGGTAGCCTTCAACAGTGAAGCCCTCTATTACAGGGCTTTTCTTTGATGGGAGGTTTTTGGTTACTGATTCAATCTCCCATTTAAATAGTCTATTTCTTTCTTATTCCATCTTGTTAGATTGTATGTTTCCAAGATTTTGCCCATTTCAATAACAGTATTCCAACTTGTTGGCATACATCTGTTTATAACACTCTCTTATAATCCTTTTTACTTCCATAAAATTGACAATATTTTCCCCAATTTCATTTAAAATTTTAGTATAGTCTTCACTATTTTTTAATAGTCATTCTAGCTAAAGGTTTGTCCATTTTGTTCTTCTCAGAGACAGAACTTCTAGTTTTATTTATTTATTATTATTTTTTATCATAAAGCAATTTATTTCTTTACAAAATGGATCTCTGATTTGCAAGGGGGTTTGCCTCATGCACATTTATAAAGCAAGCTTATTAATTACCCTTGGGGCACACTTGCACACTTTTTTTATTGTAATTTAAGTTCTGGGATACATGTGCAGATCATGCAGGATTGTTGCATAGGTACATACATGGCAAGGTGGTTGGCTGCCTTCATCCCCCCATCATCTATATCTGGTATTTCTCTCCTCATTATCCCTCCCCACCCTCCTCACACCTGTTGTCCCTCCCCTACCCCCACCACTATATGTGATGCTCCCCTCCCTGTGTCCACGTGTTCAAATTGTTAACACCTGCCTATGAGTGATAACATACAGTGTTTGGTTTTCTGTTCTTGTGTCAGTTTGCTGAGAATGATGGTTTCCAGATTCATCCATTTCCCTGCAAACGACAAGAATGCATCCTTTTTTATGGCTGCATAGCATTCCATGGTGTATATGTGCCACATTTTCTTTATCCAGTCTATACTTGATGGGCACTTGGGCTGGTTCCAAGTCTTCGCTATTGTAAACAGTGCTGCAACGAGCATACGTATGCATGTGTCTTTATAATAAACAATTTATAATCCTTTGCATATATACCCAGTAATGGGATTGCTGGGTCAAATGGTATTTCTATCTCTAGATCCTTGCGGAATTGCCACACCATTTTCCACAATGGTTGAACTAATTTACACTCCCACCAACAGTATAAAAGTGTTCCTATTTCTCCACATCCTCTCCAGCATCTGTTGTCTCCAGATTTTTTAATGATTGCCATTTTAATTGGTGTAAGATGGTATCGCAATATGGTTTAATTTGCATTTCTTTAATGAACAGTGATAATGAGCATTTTTTCATGTTTGTTGGCCACATAAATGTCTTCTTTTGTAAAGTGTCTAGTCATATCCTTTGCCCAGTTTTTGATGGTTTTTTTTCTTGTCAATTTGCTTTAGTTCTTCGTAGATTCTGGGTATTATCCCTTTTTCAGATGGGTAGCTTTCAAGTATTTTTTCCCATTCTGTTGGTTGCTGGTTCACACTAATGATTGTGTATTTCGCTGTGCAGAAGCTCATAGGTTGTTTGCTTCTGCTGTGCTGAAGCTTTTAAGATCCCATTTGTCTATTTTAGCTTTTGTTCTGTTTCTAGTTTCTTAATGTATAAGACTGTGTGGTTGATTTGAGAGCTTTCTTTGATTTTTAATATTTCATTGTTTTTTATTTATAAATCAGAATTGTATTTACTTATAGAGTACAATGCGTCATTTTGATATATGTACACAATGTATCCATCCTCTCAGTTACTTATAATTTGTTAAGGAGAGACATTTAAAACTTACATTCTTAGCAATTTTGAAGCACACAATATGGTACTGTTAACTATAGTGACCATGTTGTTCAATGAATCTCAGTGAAATCCTCCAGCTGGACGTGGTGGCTCACGCCTGTAATCCCAGCACTTTGGGAGGCCAAGGTGGGTGGATCAAGAGGTCAAGAGATGGAAACCATCTTAGCTAACATGGTGAAACCCATCTCTACCAAAAAGGAAAAAAAATTAGCTGGGAGTGGTGGTGCACACCTGTATTCCCAGCTACTTGGGAGGCTGAAGCAGGAGAATTGCTTGAATCTGGGAGACAGAGGTTGCAGCGAACCAAGAAGGTGCCATTGAACTCCAACCTGGCAATAGAGTAAGACTCCATCTCAGAGGGAAAAAAAAAAAGTTATTCCTCCTGTCTCACTGAAACTCTTTATCCTTTTAACATCTCCCCATTCTTAGCTTCCAGCCCAGCCTCTGTAACTACTGCTCTTCTCCCTGCTTCTGTGAGTTCAACTTTTTTAGATTCCACAAGTAAGTGAGATCCTATTTGTCTGTACAAACCTGGCTTATTCCACTTAGCAAATTGTCCTCTAGGTTCATTCAGGTTGTCACAAATATTAGAATTTCCTTTTTAAAAGCCCAAGAATAGTCTATTGTGTATTTATACCACATTATCCATTCATTCATTGACATACACTTAGGTTGATTTCTGTGATGGACACTTAAGTTGATTTCCTATCTTAGCTATTGTATTGCAATGAATGTAGACATAGAGATATCTATTCGACATACTAATTTCAATTCCTGTGGATGTATACCCAGAAGTGGGATTACTGGAGCATGTGGTAGTTCTATTTTTAGTTTTTCAGAAATCCATACTGTTTTCCACATTAGCTGTAGTAATTCACATTTCCAACTTTTCTCCATATCCTCACCAATACCTGCTATCTTTCACCTTTTGGATAACAGCCATGTTAGATAACATCTCACGTATCAAACTGGTATATGAGATCATATCTCATTGTGGTTTTGGTTTGTATTCCCCTAATGATTCACAACGTTGAGCATTTTTTCACACACTGTTGGCCATTGGTATGTCTTCTTTTGAGAAGTGTTTGTTTAGAGCCTTTGCCCATTTAAAAAATTTTATCAAATTATTAAATTTAAAACATATTACTTACTGTGGTCACCATGCAGTATAATAGATCACTAAGACTTATTTCTCTGGTGTAAGTGAAACTTGGTACCTTTTGATCATCTCACTTTTCCCCATTTCTCCCCACCCTTAGCCTCTGGTAACCACCTTCCTGCTTTCTGTTTCTACAAGATTGACTTCTTTAGATTCCACATGTGAGATCATACAGTATTTGACTTTCTGTGTTTGGCTTATTTCAGTTAGCAAAATGTCCTCCAGTTCCACCTATGTTTTTGGAAAATACAGAATATCCTTTTTTTAAAGACTATATAGTATTCCATTACAAATATATGTATATATGTGTGTGTATATATTTACACACACACATATATGTATATATATAACGTCTTCTTTATCCATTCATCCATTGATGGACATTCAGGTTGCTTTCATATCTTGGCTATTCTGATTAACGCTGAAATGAACATAAAAGTGCAAATATCTTTTCAACATAGCAATTATAACTCCTTTGGATATAACTACAGTACAGAAATGGGACTGCTGGATCATATGGTGATTCTACTTTTAATTTTTTTGTGGAAACTTCATATTGTTTTCCAAAATGACTATATTAATTTACTTTTTTCCTTTTTAAATCAGGTTGTTTTCCTATTAAATTGTCTGAAATACTTATATATTTTGGACATTAACCTCTTATCAGATATAGGATTTTCAAATATGTTCTCCCACTCTAAAGGTTGTCTCTTCAATCTATTGATTGTTTGCTTTGTTGTGCTGAAACTTTTTAGTTTGATGCAATTCCATTTGTTTATTTTTTGCTTTTGTTGCCTATACTTTGCTTCATATTCAAAAAATCATTGTACAAACCAATGTCATGGAGCTTTTCCTCTACGTTTTATTCTAGTAGTTTTACACTTTCAGATCTTATACGTAAGTCTTTAATACATGCTAACTTGATTTTTGTATATGATGTGAAATAAGGGTTCAATTTCCTTCTTCTGCATGTGGATACTCAATTATCCCAACAACAGTTATTGAAGACTATCCTTCTTCATTATGCCTTCTTGACACCTTTGTTGAAAGTTAATTGATTGTAAACATGTAGATTTATTTTGGGGCTCTTTTTTCTGTTCTTTTGGTATATGTGGCTGTTTTTATGCCAGTACTCTGCTTTTTTTCAGTTACTACAGCATTGTAGCATATTTTGAAGTTAAGTAGTGTGATACTTCAAGCTTTGTATTTGTTGCTCAAGACTGATTGACTATTCAGTTTCTTTTGTAGTTCCATATAAATTTTAGAACTTTTTTTTTTTTTTTTTTTTTTTACTATTTCTGGGAAAACATCACTGGAATTTTGTTATGGATTGCATTGATTCTGTACATTGCTTTGGGTAGTACAGATGTTTTACTAATACTAATTCTTTCAATCTATGAACATACGCTATCTTTCCATTTATTTGTGTCATCTTTTATTTCTTTCATCCATTTTTTATTTCCAGTATACAGATCTCTCACCTCCTTGGTTAAGTTTAAATCTAACTATTTTATTTTGTTATTACTATTGTAAACAGAATTGTTTTCTTGATTTCTTTTTTGTATAATTTATTGTTAGTGTACAGAAATGCTACTAACTTTTGAATGTTGATTTTGTATCCTGCAACTGAATTCATATATTTCTAACAGTTTTTTGGTGGAATCATTAGGATTTTCTGTATAAAAGATGTTGTTACAAACAGAGATATTTCACCTCTTCCTTTTCTATTAGGATACTTTTATTTTTTTTTCTTGTCTAATTGCTATGGCTTTCTTTTTTAATGTAAGAATTTACAGCCATAAATTTCCCTCTTTGCATTGTTTGTGCTGCATCTCCTAAATTTTGGCATGCTGTGTTTTTGTTTTCATTTGTCTCAAGGTATTTTCTCATTTCCTTTTGGATTTCTTCTTTGACCCACTGGTTTAGAAACAATGGGAACTCAATATATTAACAATGAGAGTATAAAATTGTACATGCACTTGGAAAAACAATTTGACATTTTCTCATTAAGCTGATCATTTTAATATCAAACAACCCAGCAATTCCTTTCCTTTTTCATATGTCTTATACCTTCTGTTTGAGAGCTTGGCATCTTTCAAAGGCCTGTAGAAACTGAGGTAAGTAATATTTATGCTTGGGAATAGGCATTCTTCTTCTTTTGCTAAGCCTTTAGGAGCTTGAATCAATTAAGTCAAGCAATGAACTGTATTTAGGTTTTGTTTCTTCTATGGTCATTCTCACTGAAACACCAGCCTCAAATTGCTCATGTTACCTCATTTTTACAATTCTCAAATAACCAACTTTTGGCCAAATTGAGTTTTTTTATTTCTTTGCTTTTTCTTTTTAATTTTATTAATTTTCTCTGATTTTTATTATTTTGTTTTCTTCTGCTTTCCATAGGTTTGGCTTATTTTTTTCTTTTTCCAGTTTCTTAAGGTAGAAGATATGCTTTCTCTTTTTTCAGAACTTTCTTTTTTCTATTGCAGGTATTTTAATCCTTTGATTTTCTCTCTAAATACTGCTTTAGTTATATCTCACACATTTTAATCTGTGTTTTCATTTTCATTTAGTTCAAAATAATTTCTGATTTCCTTATTGATTTCTGACTTGATCCATGGTTATTGAGAACTGTGTTCATTCAAATATTTGGCAATTTTTTAGATATCTGTTATTATTTTATAATATATCTCAATGTTGATCTGAAAACACTGTGTTTGGCTTGAATTCTTATAAACTTATTAGGACATTTTCTAGCTCAGAATATAGTTAATCTTAGTAAATGTTTAATGCGCACTTGAGAAAAAGGTGTATATTCTCCTGCTATTTTGAGGTACTATGGTTTGAATGTGTCCCCCAAAGTTCAATGTATTGAAAATTTGATCCCAAAGGCAGTGATGTTGAGAGATGAGGCCTAATGGGATGTGTTTGGGTCTTGGGGAAATTATCCTCATGAACAGATTATGCCATTATCACAGAAGTAGGTTTGTTATCACAGGAAGGGCCGCCTTGTTTGTTCCCTCTCTCACTCTTCTACCTGATGCCAAGGAGTGATGCAGCAAAAAGGCCCTCACCACATGCTGGTCCCTCTATCTTCGACTCCCCAGCCCACTGTGAGTCAATTCATTCTGTTAATTATAAATCGCCATTCTGCTATATTCTATTATTATAGCACAAAACCAACTAAGACAGGAGAAATGTTTAATAAATGTCAATTATGTTAAGTTGCTTGACAGTGTTGTTCAAGTCTTCTATATCATTCTGTATCCTTACTGATTTTCTTTATATTCTACCAACTATTCAAAGAAGGTGCTGAAATCGCTATACCTACTGATTTGTGTATTTCTCATTAAAGTATTACAAGTTTTTATTAAATGTGTTTTGAAGCATTTTTATTAGGTACATAAATATTTGGAATTGTTACGTCAGGTTGATGAATTGACCACTTCGGCATTACAAAATTATTTTCTTTATATCTGGTAACATTCTTTGCTTTGAAATCTACTTTGTACGATGGAGAAAAAAAAAAAACCTGACTTTGTAAGTTATACATGACTTTCTCTTGTTGTTGTTTGGAGGAAAATGATGCACTTTCCAGGGATTTGTCTTTTTTGTAGTCAAGGTCCCAAGAGCAATTTTTTTAAAACATTAAGGTTGTTATAATATTATTACTGAAACTCTTCTAGTAAAACACTGTTTCATGGGCTATTTCCTTCTTTTACTGTTTCCCAGATGCCCCCTCTGATGTGGTTTGGCTCTATGTCACCAATCAAATTTCATCTTGAATTGTAATCACCCCATGTCGAGGAAGGGACCTCATGGGAGGTTACTGGATCATGGAAATGGTTTCCCCCATGATGTTCTCATAATGGTGAGCAATCACGAGATGTGTGGTTTAAAAACTGTGGCACTTTTGCTTCCCTTTCTCTCCCTCTTACCTCCTGTGAAGAAGGTGCCTATCTCCCTTTTGCCTTTCACTAGGACCGTAAGTTTCCCGAGGCCTCCACAGCCGTGCAGAAGTGTCAGTCAATTAAACCTCTTTCCTTCATAAATTGCCCAGTCTTAGGTTCTTTACAGTAGTGTGAAAATGGACTAATTACACGTTCTTTATCTGTTCAGTCCTAATCGGAATTTTCACCTCATTAAATTTCTGACTTAGATTCTAATTATATGATATATAATATATGTAAAATTTATGAAGTCTAATTTCAAAGATCCAGAATCTTTTGAAATCCATATTACAGTTTTAACTCCTTTGAAAGAACTCTAGACTTCAAATAGGATTTCTATATGGTGAATGCTCAAAAAAATGACCTCTGTAGTAGAATCCAGAAAAGCATTTTTGTACTCGACTTATCTCTACTGAAAAATTAATTATGCTCAAAATCAACTTAAAAATAATTTTTTTAAAACACCATACCTTAAATTTATGGAGAAACCACCACCAAAAGGAGTCATGCAAAAGAGCAATGGAGGCTTCTGAGAGAAAGTGAGTCTTCCAGATTTTAAAAACTTTTTCCTATGGGAAAAAAAAAACAAAAGAGAGATGCATAGACATTAAAACACATTACAAAACATTTTAATATAGATAGGCTTTATGAAGAGTATGCTTTCAATGTTTATAGATCAGCACTGTTCAACAGAAATTTAACATGAGCCACATACATAATGTTAAGTATTCTTGAAGCCACACTAAAAAAGTAAAAAGTGGGCCGGGCTCATGCCTGTAATCCCAGCACTTTGGGAGGCCGAGGTGGGTGGATCACGAGGTCAAGAGATCAAGACCATCCTGGTCAACATGGTGAAACCCCGTCTCTATTAAAAAAAAAAAATACAAAAAATTAGCTGGGCGTGGTGGTGCATGCCTGTAATCCCAGCTACTCAGGAGGCTGAGGCAGGAGAATTGCCTGAACCCAGGAGGTGGAGGTTGCGGTGAGCCAAGACTGCGCCATTGCACTCCAGCCTGCAACAAGAGAGAAACTCCGTCTCAAAAAAAAAAAAAAAAAAAAAAAAGGTAAAAAGTGAAATTAATTTTAGGAACTTTTTTTTTAGGAACATTTTATTTAACCAAATATGTTGAAAATATCACTCCAATGTACAATTTACATAAAAATTATTTAAAATATTTCATTCCTTTTTGAGTACTTGGCATTTGAAATATGGCATATATTTTTGATAGTGCATCTAAATTTGAACACTACATTTTCATCAGAAATACTAGATTAATATTTAGACTTCATAGAATACATGTTTGTAATTTTGTTCTAAGCATAATTAAACATTTTTAAATAATTAAATCAAATTTAGTTTTTAGATTTATATATGAGTTAAAAGAAATACAATAAAAAATTCAGCTCCTCAGTCATACTAGCCACATTTCACATGCTCAATAACCATAAAGGACAACGTTGGATAGACCATGAACAGCAAAAATGTAAGATTCATGCCATGAGTTCCCCCTTTTCCACTGAGGACAAATATCAACAATCAATCATGGACTTCTATTCCGATAAGCTCTTCTTCTGAGCCTGTCCAGTGTTCTTCCAAAGCAGACAATTGATCAAGATTGGTATCAATGGTTAAATCTGTCTACTGTGACTACTAGAAACTTTAAGTTTTGGTTTAAATAGGCAGATTCAACAGATCATTTTATCTTCTTATTCACAAAATGATAATGTCAGACTGAGACATTAAAGATTCTTTTATGTCTGAAATTAATTTCTTTTAATTACATCCAGAGGTATGAATTCCTTTTCAAGTACAGGTCTATAAAAAGACCATCATGTAACTTTCATAACAAGAAAATTATTATGTATTCTGTGGGGGCACATCTTTTTCATAAGCCACTAAGCATAGTATGATGTACACTGGTAATAGCTTCAACTTGGAATTAATACTTTTTAGTGACAAAGAATATATGTAATATATATAAACATAAAAATCAGAAAATTAAAATAGAGGGCAAAATAACCATTTTTACCAGGTAACCACTTCACATTTTAACCCTGGTATTCACTGGCTATTTTATAAAAGGTAAATTGAAATGGAGGGCAAGATGACCACTTTTACTAGGTAACTATTCCACATTTTAGCCCTGGTATTTACTGGCTATTGATCTAACTACCTCTGAACACCTCCAGTTTTTCATCGTTTGGCTACCCTACAGGGATACTACTCAAAAATTCCCACAGACACTTGAAGACTCAAAAGAAACACCAAAAGAGTTGTGAAGAAGGGCACTCACAACTTATTTCAGGATCAAAAATGAGCAGGCTAAAACATCCTGAGCTGACAGAGCAGGAACATACAAATAGGAAAAAAACACCTGTCATGGTTACATGCCAAGCCAGTGTACACTAGCAACCTCAGGATCCTGAAGCAGTACCACAGAGTTTAATACATTATTTTCTGGTAATCAGTAGGTTAGACACATCACTGGTCTTTCCTACCAAATTTAATGCCCAAAGGATTAATCTTGTTTAACATCTAATTATTTATCATAGCTTTAAATAAAGGTCTAATTCATTAAATTCTACTGTCAAAATTTATCCTACGATAAAATGAAATATTAACATACATCAAAATTATGGGCTTTTAAAATAAAAAGATATATTTGTTTGGCATCCAAATGTCTGGGTAGCTGAGTAAGTTCATTTGCTTTGAATCCTGTGAAGTTGCAACCCTAGAAAGAGGTGAATATAACAGGACAGTAATTATTTTACTTTTCTCACTATAGTATACTCATATAACTACAGATAACCAACATTTAACTATCACTTACTAACATAATTTTACTTCTTTTTACTAAATTAAGTAAAATTTATATATCCCATCTAAGAAAAACCTCCAGCCAGGTGCAGTGGCTCACGCCTGTAATCCCAGCACTTTGGGAGGCCAAGGTGTTTGAGGTTGGAAGTTCGAGACCAGCCTGGCCAACATAGTAAAACCCTGTCTCTACTAAAAATATAAAAATTAGCCAGGCATGGTGGCACAAACCTGTAATCATAGCTGCTTGGGAGGCAGGAGAATCACTTGAACCTGGGAGGCAGAGGCTGCAGTAAGCCAAGGCTGCACCACTGCACTTCAGACTGGGCCACAGAGTGAGACTCTGTCTCAAAAAAAAAAAAAAAAAAGGAAAAGAAAAGAAAAGAAAAATCTTCATATCATCTGCTTCTTTGAAATAAGGAGCCCTGGCACATTCATGTGACATATCTAAAATCAAAACAAAATCATACTTCAGAACTAATTTTGACATAAACTCAAATGATCAAGAATTTTAGCTGGACTATACATAAATAAATATAGACTAGGCAGCTTCTATACCTGCTTCTGATTCTCTCCTCTGGTGCCTCTCTCTATATTTAGAGCTATGTATGTATTATTGTAAACATTACTTTTGTCCTACATAATACACTTGATTTACAATCTGGCAAAATATAAATTTTAAGTACCTCTATATTCTTCTCTGTCTCCATGTCATCTGAAAGCTGGAAAACATTTAAAGCAAAATCTTTAAAACTCAAAATTAAAGAAATTTAACATTTAGTGAATTTTTTCAGTTAACTAGTATGTACAGATATAGATATAGATATACATCCTACAGAGGCCTTAAATACTACTGCTGTGTTGGATACTAGAAATTCAAAGATGGTCCTTGCCCTCAAACTAGTTATGGTTCAAGAAGGGAATCAGATATATTCATAAACAAAACGAACAGAGATAAGGGCTAAAATAAACACACCACTATTATAGTTAGGTTCCCTGAGAAATACATTCTCTGAAGGAATTTAGTGTTCAGAACATTTATTGGGAGTGCTTTTGGAATCAATGCCTTTGGCAGTTAAGGGAAGAGGCAGGATTGGGCAGATGGAGAAATTAGCTATGATGGAAGCCCAATAGTCACAACTGACTCCAGGAAGAATTCTAGAGGTGAAAGTATCCATCAGAGTTGTCCTGCATTGGACTGAAATAGCCAGGACTTCCTGCCCCAACTTGAGCAGTCACTGAGTAGCTCCTGGAAAGACGTTTCCTCAGAAGAAGCTCTCTGGAGGTAAGGAATCCCATGAAGGATCTGACAGTTGAAGTGTGGCCCTTAACAGCACTCTTAGCTGCTAGAGAAACAGATCTTTCTTTGAAAGGGAATCCGGGTGGCAAATTTTAATGTCTGCTACACTGCTTTACACACATAGATCAGTTTTTTTTATCATCTAGTCATGTATATATATATATACATACATATTCTATAGACACAGATAGATGAATTACTCCAAAAATAACTAAGCTTACAAGTAAGTTTTACACATACAAGAGCATACATACACACATATTACATATACACATATATTAGAAAGGAGAGGAAAAACAACATATGAAACAAATTGGAAAGAATGATAGATTGCTTCCAGAAAGAGGATCATATTATTCTCATTTTTAAAAGTGTACACAGGCATAAGAAAGAGAGACTTTTTAGAAAAAAATGAGATCAAATATGATTTTAAAGAAGGCTATGTGTTTGAAAGCTACAGATACAATAAAGATGGGGTCAGAAATAGGGCTACATTAAACTAGGAAACTTTTGTACAGCAAAGGAAACAACTGTGATGAGACAACCTGTGTAGGGGGAGAAAATGTTTGCAAACCATTTATTTAATAAGAGACTAATATCCAGAACATATTAGTATTCAAGGAACTAGAACAACTCAACAGCAAAAATAAACACCACATAATACCATCAAAAAGTGGGCAAAGGATCTGAATATACATTTCTCAAAAGAAGGCATACAAATGGCCTACAAAAAACATTCACCATCACAAATCATCAGATAAATGCAAGTCAAACCCACAATGAAGAGAAAAGAGAATTCTTATAATACCGTTGGTGGAAATGTAAATGTAGTACAGCTTTTATGGAAAACAGGGGTTTCTCAAAAAACTAAAAATAGAACTACCATATGATTAGTTCAGCAATCCACTACTCAGTATCTCTCCACTAGAAAGGAAGTCAAAGGGATACCTGCACTCCCAGGTTTACTGGAATACTATTCATGAGAGCTGAGATATGGAACCAACCTAAGTTTCCATCAAAGGATAAATAGTAAAATGTTGTATATATATGTAATGGAATACTATTTAGCCATTAAACAAATGAAATCCTGTCATTTGCAGCAATATAGATAAAACTGGAGGTTGTCTGTTAAGTGAAACAAGACAGGCACAGAAAGACAAGTGTTATGTATTCTTATTCACATATGGGAACTTAAAAAGTTTATCTCGTGGAGGTAGAGTGTAGAATGATGATTACCAGAGGCTGCTGGGGGAGTGGAGGGGATTAAGAGCGGTTGGTTAATGTGTACAAACATACCGTTATCTAGAATGACTAAGTTCTACTGTTTGATAGCATAGTAGGTCAACTATAGTTAACAACAATGTATTGTATATTTCAAAATAGCTAGGATATTTGAAATGTTCCTGACACAAAAAATAATAGCTATCCTAAATAACCTGATTTGATCATTACACATTGCATGTGTGCATCAAAATAACACATGTACCCTGTAAATAGGTATAATTATTATATATCAATTTAAAAAGATGAAGTCAGATTTAATTAAATGTTAAGGTTAATCTCCAAGTCCTGGCTTTATTCTGTAGGAGGAAAAGAAACAGTGAAAGTTTTCAAGCAGCAGAACTGCAGTAATACAAAACATAGTTTTTAGTCATATAACCTTAAAAAGAGACCACAAAAGTATAAATACATGTTAAAATTCTGACTGATAAATCAATGACACTTTTATATTTAACAAAAAGAATAACTACTAAAACTTTTGTTAGTATAATACGCCTAAAAGTGATTTCAATAGATTTTGAAAAGTCATTTGATAAAATAAGTAGTCAGAATTTAAAAACTTATTTGAAAGCAGGATGGCTTGCAAATGTAAGGAAATACAGAAGAGCCACTTGGTTGAGCAAGAGCCTAGCTACCAACCAGTATGCTTAAGCACCATCTACTGAATCACATCCCAAACTTCAACACTAAAAATACTTTGCAAATACATGCCCTGATAAAACCAAAGACAAGAATTCAGGTACAAGAAAAGACCCAACACAAAGTATCAGCCCTCTGAAAACATCCAGAAACAAAGCCTATTGACTGCAATCAGCACCACAGTTAAAGAAACATCAGCCCACATAGATGAGAAAGAATCATCAGCATAAAAACTCTGGCAATTGAAAAAGCCAGTGTCTTTTTCCTCCTAAAGACTACACTAGTTTCAGTAATGGTGCTTAACCAGGTTGAAATGGTTGAAATGACAGGCAAAGAATTCAGAATATGGGTAGAAATAAAGATCATCAAAATTCAGGAGAAACTAAAACCAACTCCAAAAAATCTAAGGATTACAATAAAACAATACAGGAGCTGAAAGTTGAAATGATAATTTTTTAAGGAAGAACCAAACTGAATTGACAGAGCTGAAAAACACACTGCAAATATTTAACAATACAATCAAAAGTATTAACAGCAGAATAGACCAAGCTTAGGAATGAATCTCAGACCTCAAAGACTGCTTCTTAGAAATAACTCAGCCACACAAAAATAAATGAAAAATAATGAACAAAACCTCTGAGAAATATAAGATTACATAAAGAGACCAAATCTATACTCACTAGTGTTCCTGAAAAAGAGGGAAAGAAAATAAGCAACTTGGAAAAAATATTTCATGACATCATCCATAATAATTTCCAAAACCCACTAGAAAGGCCAACATTCAAATTCAGGAAATGCAGAGAACCCTTGGGAGATACTATACAAGATGACCATGCACAAGACACACAGTTACCATATTCTCCAAGGTTGACATGAAATAAAAAATATTAAATGTGGCCAGAGAGAAAGGCAGGCAAACCTACCAAGGGAACCACACCAGGCAAACAGCAGACCTTTCGGCAAAAACCCTACAAGCCAGAAGAGACTTGGGGCCATATTAAGTATTCTTTTTTTTTTTTTAGAAAGATTTTCACTCTTGTTAACCAGACTAGAGTGCAGTGGCACAATCTTGGCTCACTGAAACCTACCCCTCCTAGATTCAAGTTATTTTCCTGCTTCAGCCTTCCAAGTAGCTTGGGATTATACACTACCATGCCTGGCTAATTTTGTTTTTAGTAGAGAAGCAGTTTCACTATATTGGTCAGGATGGTCTCGAACTCCTGACCTCATATTATCCACCCACCTTGGCCTCCGAAAGTGCTGGAATTACAGGTGTTGAGTCACCATGCCAAGCTGTATTCAACACTCTTAAAGAAAATAAATTCCAACTAAGAATTTCATATCTAGCCAAACTAAGTGAAGGAGAAATAAAATCTTTTTCAGATAAGCAAATGTTAAAAGAATTCATTAGCAACAGACCTGCTTTGAAAGAGGTCCTTCAGGGAGTGCTAAATATGAAAATCAAAGACTGTTACTAGCCACCAGAAAAACATATTTAAGTACATAGACCAGTGACACTATAACGCACTCACCCAATCAAGTTTGCATAATAACCAACAAACAACAAGGTGACAGACCTAGAGGAATTGTCAGACCTGAACTGTGCAAGGCTGTCTTACCGAAAAGATGGGGCCAGTCCAACTTGAGCACCCCTTGGTTGGCTGGCCTCTCCCAGAGCCCCAGCCTGGCTGCACCTGCTTACAGTACACATACCAGTGACCCTATAAAGCAACCACATAAACAAATCTGTATAAAAACCAGCTAACATCATGATGACTGGATCAAATCAACACATGCCAATATTAACTTTGAATGTAAATGGGGGCTAAATGCCCCCATTAAAAGTCAGAGTGGCAAAATGGATAAAGAAACAAGATCCATTAGTATGCTATGTTCAAAAGATCCATATTGCATGCAATGAGACACATAGGTTCAAAGTAAAGAGAAGGAGAAAAATCTACCAAAAAATTGGAAAACAGAATAAACTAGTACTTGCAGTCCTAATTTTAGACAAAACAGACTTTAAACCAACAAAAATCAAAAAAGAAAAAGAAGGGAATTACATAGGGGTAACAGGTTCAATTCAACAAGAAGACCTAACGATCCAAAATGTAAATGCACCCAACACAGGAACACCCATATTCACAAAGCAAGTTCTTAGAGACCTTCAAAGAGACTTAGACCCACACAGTAATACTGAGAGACTTTAACACCCCACTAACAGTATTAGGACAGATCACTGGGGCAGAAAATTAACAAAGGTATTCAGGACCTAAACCCAGCACTGGATCAAACGGACCTGGCAGACATATACAGAACTTACCTCTCCAAAAAAACAGAATACACATTCTTCTCATTGCCCACATGGCACATACTCTAAAATCGAGCACATAATTATAAGGAAAACACTACTCGGCAAATGCAAAAGAACTGAATTCATGACAGTCTCTTGGATCACAGAGCAATCAAACTAAAAGTCAATACTAAGAAATTCACTCAAAAACCACACAATTACATGGAAATTGAATGACTGCTACTGAATGACTTTTAGAGAAATAAAAGAAATTAGGGCAAAAATCAGGAAGTCCTTTGAAACTAATGAGAACAAAGATACAACATACCGGAATCTCTGGGACACAGCTAAGGAAGTTTTAAGAGGGAAATTTACAGCACTAAATACCCACATCAAAAAGTTAAAAAGATCTCAAGTTAACAACCTAACATCACAACTAAAAGAATTAGGGAACCAAAAGAAAACCAACCCCAAAGCTAGCAGAAGACAAAAAATAACCAAATCAGAGCTGAACTGAAGGAGACTGTGCGACAAAAATCATTCAGAAGATCAACGAATCCAGGAGTTGTTTTTTTTTAAAAAAAATTAACAAAATAGATAGACTGCTAGCTAGATTAATAAAGAAGAAAAGAGAGAAAAATCAAATAAACACAATTAGAAATGAAAAGGAAATAGGAGGTCAGCACAAAATACAGGTCATAAAGATCTTGCTGATAAAACAGACTGCAGTAAAGGAGTAGGCCAAAACCCACCAAAACCAAAATGGCAACAAGAGTGACCAACTTCTAGTTGTCCTCACTGCTACACTCCCACCAAGTGCCATAGAGTTTACAAATGACATGTCAATGTCAGGAAGTTACCCTATATGGTCTTAAAAGTGGATGCATGAATAATCCACCCCTTGTCTAACCTATCATCAAAAAATAACCATAAAAATGGGCAACCAGCATCCCTCAGGGCTGTTCTGTCTATGGAGTAGCCATTCTTTCATTCCTTTACTTTCTTAATAAACTTGCTTTCACCTTGCAAAAAAAAAAGAAATGATAAGGGGGATATCACTATGCCCACTGACCCCACAGAAATGTAAACAACCATCAGAGAATAAATACGAATAAATACTACAAATGCCTCTGTGCATATAAAACTAGAAAATCTAGAAGACATGGATAAATTCCTGGACACATATACCCTCTCAAGACTGAGCCAAAAAAAAAAACTGAATCCCTGAACAGACCAATAATGAGCTCTGAAATTGAATCAGTAATAAATAGCCTATCAACCTATTAAAGCTCAGGACCAGAGAGTTTCACAAGTGAACTCTACCAAATGTACAAAGAAGAGCTGGTACCCTACCTGCTGAAACTATTTCAAAAAATTGAGGAAGAAGGGCTCCTCCCTAACTCATTCTATGAGGCTAGCATGTCTGTTACTAAAACCTGACAGAGATACAACAAAAAAGAACTGCATGCCAATATTCTTGATGAACATTGATGCAAAAATCCTCACCAAAACACTGGCAAATTGAATCCAGCAGCACATCTATAAGCTTATACATCACAGTCAAGTAGACTTTATCCCTGGGATGGAAAGTTGGATTAACATATACAAATCAATAAATGTGATTCATCACACAAACAGAACTAAAAAACCACATGATTATCTCAACAGATGCAGAAAAGGCTGTTGATAAAATTCAACACCATTTCATATTAAAAACACTTAATAAACTACATATTGAAGGTACAGACCTCAAAATAACTAGTGCCAACTATCACAAATTTACAGCCAATATCATAATAAACGGGCAAATGCTGGGAGCATTCTCCTTGAAAACCGGCACAAGACAAGGATGCCCTCTCTCACCACTTTTATTGAACACAGTATTGTGGAAGCCTTAGTCAGAGGTATCAGGCAACAAAAAGAAATAAAGGGCATCCAAATAGAAAGAAAGGAAGTCAAACTATCCCTGTTTTCAGACCACATGATCCTATTCCTAGAAAAGCTCATAGTTTTAAAAGCTCCTTAAGCTGATAAACAACTTCAGCGAAGTCTCAGGATACAAAATTAATGTATGAAAATCACCAGTACTCCCATGAAAATCACATAGTACTCCCAACAGTCACGTCAAGAGCCAAATCAGAAACACAATCCCATTCACGACTGCCACACACACATACAAATACCTAGGAATATGGCTTACTAGGGAGGTGAAAGATCTCTACAAGAACTATAAAACACTTCTCAAAGAAATCAGAGATGACAAATGGAAAAACATTCCCTGCTTATGAACAGGAAGAATCAATATCATTAAAATGGCCATGCTGCCCAAAGCAATTTGTAGATTCAATGCTATCCCTGTTAAACTACCAATCACATTCTTTACAGAACTAGAAAAGACTCTTTTTAAATTCATATAGAACCAAAAAAGAGCTCAAATAGCCAAGAAAATCCCAAGCAAAAAGAACAAAGCTGGGGCATCATGCTACTTGACTTCAAACAATTATAAACTGTAGGGCTACAGCCACCCAAACAGCATGGGACTGGTACAAAAACAGACACATAGACCAATGGAACAGAATAAAGAACCCATAAAGAAGGCCACAACTATCTTATCTTTGACAAAGATGACAAAAACAAGCAATGGGAAAAGGAATCCCTATTCAATAAATAGTGCTGGGATAACTGGCTAGCCATATGCAGAAGATTGAAACAGGACCCTTTCCTTATACCTTATACAAAAGTTAACTCAAGATGGTTTAAAGACCAAAATGTAAAACCCAAAAGTATAAAACCCAGGAAGACAGCCTAGGCAATACCATTCTAGACAAAGGTATGGGCAAAGATTTCACAACAAAGATGCCAAAAGCAATCATAACAAAAGCAAATATTGACAAATAGGATCTAATCGAACTAAAGAGTTTCTGGACAGCAAAATAAACTACCAAAAGAGTAAAGAACCAACCTACAGAAAGGGAGAAAATATTTGCAAACTATGCATCTTAAAAGGTCTACAAAAACTCACATGGAACTTAACAACAACAACAAAAAAGCACACAACCCCATTAAAAAGTGGGCAAAAGGCATGATCCAACAGTTTTCAAAAGAAAACATATATGCTACCAACAAACATATGAAGAAAAGCTCAACATCACTGATCATTAGAGAAGTGCAAGTCAAAAACACAATGAGATACCATTTTACACCAGTTAGAAAAACTAGTACTAAAAGGTAAAAAAAAAAATAACAGAAGCTGACAAGGTTGCAGAGAAAGGGGAATGCTTATACTATACCGCTAGTGGGAATATAAATTAGTTCGGCCACTGTGGGAAGCAGTTTGATGATTTCTGAAAGAACTCAAAAGAAATATGTATCATTCTACCATAATGACACATGCAAATGTATGTTCACCGTAGCACTATTAACAATAGCAAAGGCATGGAATCAACCCAAATGCCCATCAATGCTTGCCTGCATAAAGAAAATGTGGTATATATACACCATGGAATACCATGTAGCCCTAAGAAACAACAAGATCACGTCCTTTGCAAAACCATGTATTGAGCTGGAGGCCATTATCCTTAGCAAACTAATGCAAGAACAGAAAAACAAATACTGCACGTTCTCACTTACAAGTGGGAGCTAAATTACAAGAACACATGAACTCATGGAGGGGAACAACACACACTGGGGCCTAACAAAGGGTAGATGGCAGGAGGAGAGAGAACATCAGGAAAATAACTAATGGGCACTAGGTTTAATACCTGAGTGACAAAATAATCTGTTCAACAAACCTCCAGGATATAAGTTTATTTATAAAACAAACCTGCACATGTACCACTGAACTGAAAATAAAAGCTAACTTTTTTTTAAAAAGCATTAAATAAGGTGGCTAGACTAATGGTGATACAAAGTTTTTGTAGCTTTAACATTATATACTTTCAGAACATATTTTTAAAAAGATGAGGTATCTAAAAGTAATTCAAAAATCAAAATCTCAAAAAGATTTTTAAAAAATTGGCAGAGTAATCTAAAGATCATCAAAAAGACTTACTAATTTTCTAGAAGAAAAAGACTGATATGTGACCTGCACCACTATATAAATTATTAAATAACCAAAGAATGGACTAGGGTGCCTTGAAATATGTCTTCAAATAACTTGTAGTTATGTGAAGATGCCAATGCTCATTAATATTGAGTATAAAAAGAAAGTAAATGCAGTTATCTTTAAAACATAGAGACGGATGCTAGATTGGCGACAATAGACTAAAAGGACATTTACAAAAATGTTTTCAGTAGTCATCTGTGGAACTGTAGTGTTTATATTTTCTGTGAAAATCTAATTTTCAAGGATGATGAAAACATAAATACCATACCATTATCTTTTTTTTCTTATGGTACTTCTTTAGGAACTCCCCATATCTTTCCAATTTCCTGTAAGAACCTTTAAAAATACAAGAATTCATAGTTTATATGTTATATATATGTATATCCTCTAGAAATAATAAAATTTTAAATACTTCAAACAAATTATATAAACAAAACTACTCAATGAAATCAACCAGCAATTTTGATGAGTATATGCTAAACACACATTGTTAGCTGAATAAATAATTGGAATTATTATATATAGTATATCTTCTGTTTTCCTTTTCTGAAATATCATGTTCCAACCAACATGTCTGTGGCACTTACTCCTATATCTAAAGTTTTATGTCAATCCCTCTCTCCTAAAAAAAGTCTGCATTTTTTCAAATAGCTCACCCAATTATGCTTGGTTGTTTCATGGTCACCTTAATTTCAATAAAGTGCAGTACTGTGGAGCATGACCCAGTGAAACAATATGGGGGGCTCTGAAGTCAGATAAACTAGACTTGAATCCTGTTTCTGATATCTATATATTGAGGACAATGTATATATAAGAAATTACCTTTTTAAAAAAACAGGAGGAAGATATGAAAAGATATGTTCCTACTTGGTTACTTGTGGATATTTTGTTTCTTTATAAGATGAATTTATATGCACATACAGCTGTCTGCGTGTGTATGTGTATACAAGCTATACATATGTGTATATTTATATATACATACACAGAAGCTATATGTAGCTTTTACAAATGAAAAAAATACACATTAAAAATTTACAATTTAAATTTAAAAATTTAAAAATAATTTAATAGAAATGTATTTAAATATATCTTCAGAATTACGCAAATCTAAGTCCAAAAAAGAATATTAAATACCAAAATAACATAATGAATCTAATATCTAAAAATACTTTATAAGTACAATTTATATCATTTTCAAGACATATATGACAAATTTGCCAATTAAATCAAGAATAAGACAAGAATAATTATAAATATTTAAAACTACTCTGGAAATATTAATCAATGCAATTATATTAGAAAAATGTTATACAAATATTGAAAAGTAAAAATTATCATTACTTGCAGTATGCTTTGTCATTCATTCAGTTATTCCACAGTGAATACCAGCTACTCCCACAAACAAGCCTAGCTCATACAGGTTTAACTATCACCCCTTTTACTTTCAGTTTTAGATATTTCTGTTCTATCCTGACCCTTGCTGATATGTTTGTTTCTAGTAAAAATATTAGTTGATGAAATCTTGCTCGCACGTCTTCCTAATATTCTGTACCTCCACTCCAGTTTAACAAAAGCTTAACAGTTTAACGACTATTTTAATGCTTTGAATCCACATATTTATGTTCAACCAAAAAATCTGTATTGAACCATTTTGAAATGAAGAGGTTTTAAAATAAAATATTTTTTAAATTTATTTTATACCTTAGAATTTCATTCTTTATGAGATTACACGCACACACACACACACACACACACACACACACACAGCCCTACCTGACCATTACTTTACTAATACAAAAAATAAGGACTGGCCAGGTACACTGGCTCATGCCTATAATCCCAGCACTTTAGGAGGCTGACTCAGGAGGATCACTTGAGGCCAAAAATTGGAAACTGGAGAACAACCTACGCAATATAGTGAGACTCCATTTCTATAAAAGATAAAAATAAATAAGGCTCACTTGTTTCAGAAATCATGCTTTTCCGCTTAAATATTTTAGAGGTGTGGTTTTGCAAAAGAAGTGAACATTCCTTTAATCGTGATTCCATGATCAAAACTGCTTCAAATATTCGAGGAACATTTTCCCATAGATGTGTATAAATGGAAACAAATGAACTATCTTCTTTTATTTTTTTCAGAGTGCATGACCATTGATCATCGTCTCTAAAATGGATTTCCTTTGGCCAATAATCCTGCAAAAAATGTGAAAGAATGAATACAGCTTAAGTCATTTTTAATGAATTTAAATTAATAGAGTTCAAAACCAATGAGCTTTAACTGAAACTGTATTCCATCGCATTGCTTTTTATTACTTAAAATTTGAAACCATCACAAACATTAGAAAAGTTACAAGTGCTTTACTAAAACGATTTTCCTAAATCATTTGAGAATAATTTGTTTACCTGACAGCCCATTATCCTTTAAAACTTCAGTGTATATTTGCAAAAAATAAAAACATCCTCCTACATAATAAATTCAGTCATTAGAATCAGGAAATTGGCATTGATACATTATTTATATTTAATACATACACTCTATTCAAGTTTCAATGGAACCAGTTATGCCCTTTATAGCAAAAGTATCTAGTTCAGAAAAAAAATGTTAGGTTTTGGCTTCATGTCTATTTGGTCCCTTTCAGTCTGTGACAGTTCCACAGTATCTATGGGGAAAGGAACAGGGAAGATTAGAAGAGATAATTTAAATTTATTTTTATTTTTTTCTAGTTTTATTAAAGTACAGTTGACAAATTAACATTCTAAGTACTTATGGTGTACAATATGATGCTTCAATAAATGTATACACTGTGCAATGATTGCCCAAAAGGTAAATAACATATCCATCACCTTCATAGTTTGTATATGCTGAGAACATTTAAGATCTACTCTCTTAGCAATTTTCAAATACACAATACATTATTATTAACTATAATCATCATGCTAACTGATTCCCAGAATTTATCTGTCCTGTCTGAAACTTTGCACTCATTTCTCCCCTTCTTTCACAAGCCGTGGTAAGACTCCATTCTAATCTCTGTTCCTATAAGGTCCATTCTTATACACTCCACTTATAAGTGAGATAATGCCACAGTTGCTTTTTTGTGCGTGGCTCATTTTACATAGCATCATGTCCTCTAAGCTCATCCACATTGTCAAAAATGAAGAGATTTTTTTTCTTAAGGCTGAATAAATATTCCACTGTGTGTATATGTGCACATGTATACACACACACAAAAAGAAAATGTGTTTTATGTATATATAGACACACACACACCACATTTTCTGTTTCCATTCATATGTTGAAAAGCACTTAGGTTGATTCCATATCTTGGTTATTGTGAATAATGCTGTGCATGATCATAAGGGTACATATATCTCCTTGACATACTCTTTTCATCCCCTTTGAATATTACCTCAGAAATGAGGCTGCTAGATCATGTGGTAGTTGTATTTTAACTTTTGTGAGGAATACCTGTATGGTTTTTATTAATGGCTGTATTAATTTACGTTCCCATCAGCAGTGTTCAAATGTTTCTATTCTCTACATTTTTGTCAAATCTAGTTTTTTTTTCATAACAGCCATTCTAACAGGTGTGAGGTGATATCTGTGCTTTCAATTTGTATTTTCCTGATAACTAGTGATATTGAGCATCTTTTCACATTGCTGTTGGCTGTTTGCATGTCTTTTTTTTTTTTTTTTTTTTTTTTCCCCCGAGACGGAGTTTCGCTCTTGCTACCCAGGCTGGAGTGCAATGGCGTGATCTCGGCTCACCGCAACCTCCGCCTCCTGGGTTCAGGCAATTCTCCTGCCTCAGCCTCCTGAGTAGCTGGGATTACAGGCACGCGCCACCATGCCCAGCTAATTTTTGTATTTTTAGTAGAGATGGGGTTTCACCATGTTGACCAGGATGGTCTCGATCTCTCGACCTCGTGATCCACCCGCCTCGGCCTCCCAAAGTGCTGGGATTACAGGCTTGAGCCACCGCGCCCGGCTGCATGTCTTCTTTAGAGAAATGTCTATTCCAGTCCTTTGCCCATTTTTAAATCAGCTTATTAGTTTTGTTTTTCCTGAGTCATTTGAGTCACATTACATATTTTAGGCATTAACCTCTTATTAGATCTATGGTTTTCAAATATTTTCACCCATTCTACAGGTCGTCTCTTCACTCTTGCTTGTTTCCCCTGCTGTGCAGAAACTTTCAGTTTGATGTTATCCCATTTATCTATTTTTGCCTGTGCTTTTGGCTTCATATCCAAAAATTCACTGTACAGACCAATGTTACAGAATTTTTCCCCTATGTTTTCTTCTAGTAGTTTTACATTTTCGGTTTTACGTTTAAATCTTTAATCCATGTTGAGTTGATTTTTTTAATATGATGTGAGATAAGGGCTCAGTTTGATTGTTCTGTGTGTGGACACTCAATTGTCCCGACAACTTCTTCTTTTGAGAACTGTCTGTTCATATCCTTAGCACACTTTTTAATGGAATTATTTCTTTTCTTGCTGAATTGAGTTCCTTGTAGATTCTGGATATTAGTCCTTTGTCCGATGCACAGTTTACAAAGACTTTTCTCCTATTCTATGTGTTGTTTGTTTACTCTGCTGATTATTTCTTTTGCTGTGCAGAAGCTTTTTAGTTTAAGTTGCATCTATTTATCTTTGCTTTTGTTGCATTTGTTTTTGGGCTCTTGGTCATTAAGTCTTTGCCTATGCCAATGTCTAGAAGGAGTTTTCCCAATATTATCTTCAGATCTTTATGTTTTCAGGTCCTAGATTTAAGTTTTTAATCCATTTTGACTTGGTTATTGTATAAGGTGGGAAATGAGAATCCAGTTTCATTTTTTCTACATGTGGCTTGCCAATTATCCCAGTAATGTTTGTTGAATGGCTGTCCTTCCCACACTTTACGTTTTTGTTAGCTTTATTGAAGTTAGGTTGCCTGTCAATATTTGGTTTTATTTAAGTGTTCTCTATTCTGTTCCATTGGTCTGTGTGCCTATTTTTATACCAGTACCATGCTGTTTTGGTGACAAGAGCCTTATAGTATAGTTCAAAATTGTGTATATAATGCCTCCAGATTTGTTCTTTTTGCTTAGTCCTGCTTTGGCTATGAAGCCACTTGTTTTTTTGGTTACATATAAATTTTAGGATTTTTTTTCTAGTTCTGTGAAAAATGATTGTTATTTTGATGGGAATTGTATTGAATCTGTAGATTGCTTTTGGCCATATGGTCATTTTCACAAAATTGATTCTACCATCCATGAGCATGAGATGCTTTACCATTTGTTTGTGTCATTTGTAATTTCTTTCAGTAGTGTTTTGTAGTTTATCTTGTAGAGGTCTTTCACCTCCTTGGTTAGTTATACTCCTAAGTATTTTATTTTGTTTTATTTTTGCAGCTATTGTAAAAGGGGTGTAGATGATCTTGATTTCTCAGCTTGACTGTTATTTCTGTATAGCAGTGCCACTGATTTGTGCATTGATTCTGTATCCTGAAACTTTATAGAATTCATTTATCAGACCTAGGAGCTTTTGGGATGAGTCTTTAATGTTTTCTAGGTATATAATCATACCATCAGTGAACGGTGACAGTTTGACATACTCTTTAGCTATTTAGATGTCCTTCATTTCTTTCCCTCATCTGATTGTTCTAGCTATAACTTCAGTACTGTGTTGAAGAGAAGTGGTGAAAGTGGGCATATTTGTCTTATTCAATTTCTCAGGAGCAATGTTTTAAAGTTTTCCCTGTTCAGTATAATACTGGCTGTAGACTTGACATAGACGGCTTTTATTACCTTAAGGTATGTCCCTTCTATGCTGATTTTGCTGAGAGATTTAATCATAAAGGGATGCCAAATTTTGTACTAAAGAAGCACCAGAGAAAGGTGAAAACAAACATGAAGGAATTTAAAAAATATATAGAATATGGACAAAAAAATCTCCAGAGGAATATATATCATAAATAAAAATCAGAAATTCTGGAATGAAAGATACACAGAGAAATTTCAACAATGGAATCAGACAAGTAGAAGAAAGAACTTCAAAGCTCAAAGACAAGAAGGCTTTTGAATTAACCCAGTCCAACAAGGACAAAGGAAAAAGAATTTTTAAAAAAATGAACAAAGCCTCCAAAAAGTATGAGATTATGTTAAATGACCAAACCTAAGAATAACTGGTATTCCTGAGAAAGAAATCTAAAAGTTTGGAAAACTTACTTGAGGGAATAATCAAGAAAAACTTATCTGCCTTGCTAGAAATCTAGACATCTAAACACAGGAAGCTCAAAGGACACCCAGGAAATTCATTGTAATAAAATCATCACCTGGGCACACGGTAATCATGTCATCTAAAGTCAAAACAAAGGAAAGAATTTTAAGAGCTATGAGGGAAAAGCATCAGGTAACCTACAGAAGAAAACCTATCAGATTAATAACAGATTTTTCAGCAGAAACATTACAAGCCAGAAGTGACTGGGATCCTATCTTTAGCCTCCTTAAACAAAATGATTAGAGGCCAAGAATTTTGTATCCAGCAAAACTAAGATTCGCAAATGAAGAAAAGATAAAGTCTTCTTCAGACAAACAAATGAGGAGATATTTTGCTACTACCAAGCCAGCACTAAAAGAACTGCTAAAAAAAAAAAGTTCTAAATCTTGAAACAAAACCTTGAAATACACCAAAATTGAACATCCCTAAAGCATAAATTTCACAGGGCCTATAAAACAATAACACAATAAAAAAATGGTATTCAGGTAACAACTGGCATGATGAATAGAATAGTACCTCACTACCCAATACTAACATTGGATGTAAATGGCCTAAATGCTCCACTTTAAAGATAGAGAATGGCAGAATACATAACAATTTATCAACCCAGTATCTACTATCTTCAAGAGAATCACCTTAAAGATAGAGAATGGCAGAATACATAACAATTTATCAACCCAGTATCTACTATCTTCAAGAGAATCACCTAATACATAAGGACTCACATAGACTTAAGGTAAAGGAGTGGAAAATGATATTCCAGGCAAATTGACACCAAAAAGATAGGAGTAGCTATTCTTGTATCAGACAAAATAAACTTTAAAGCAGTGACAGTTAAAAAAGACAAAGAGGGACATTATAATGATGAAAGGACTAGTCTAACAGGAAAATATCACAATCCTAAATATATATGCATCTAGCACTGGAGC